TAAAAATTTAGATTGCCTTGTAACTTTTAAACTCCGATTCGTTGGCTTTTCTGTTTTTCCGCTATTTGTTTCCAGCTTAAAAGGGACTATGAATTTGAATGTGGTTAGGGGAAATTAAAAAAGAAAATTTTAAGAGCTGTTAAATGAAAAAAGGAGTTTCAAAATATTCAATAGTTGTAAAATTAAAGCCATCAATATTAGCCTTTAAGCGATTCCTAAATCAAGTTCGCTGAGAGCCGGCAAAGCACATTTAACCCAACAATTAACTGCGAAAAGGTCAACAGAAATAGGTTTCTAGCAACCTCAACCGACTGGATGGGATTTGCACCTGTTGACTGCTCCCTTTGACCACTGGAGCGTGTGAGCATCGGAATCATCGAGGGCCAACAAAAAAGTGTCGGATGACAGAGGACATAGAAGAACTTCGTTGTTGGGTGCTCAACCAATTGCGGTCGAGAGTCATTGAGCATGGCATAGACACACACACATTTCACTACGAGTATATATTCCTCAAATCGATGTCAACGACTTTGAAGGTGGCACCACACCATCGCATTCACAATTTGCAAGGAAAAACACAAAGAGTAGGTGCAGAATATTGGCACCCAGTTAAGCTATTTTGCATGAAATTCTAAAAGTTCGCCATTCAAGAAAACCTCTTGAATGCAGTCTGTGGCCTTTTCCTCTTATCTTAAGCCGTTCCATTAAAGTGGCCATTCTCTTGAACTTGGGGCCTAAAATGCAAAAAATGGGGTCAAGCCCTGCTTAAATGCACATTTCTGTCTTAAGAAGCTGAGTCCTGAAAAATTAAAAAAAAAACAGATGGGTTTGAAAATTAAAAGAAAATTTCAAAACTTAAAAGGAAAGTTTTCTTAAATTCTAAAATATTTCTGAAATTCTGTATCAATTACACCAATTTGAAACTCTATATATGAATTTCAAACACATACAATCAATACCCAAAAAAATATGGTTATTAAACAAAAACACTTTGATGGAGTTGATTGCTGTCATCCCCTTGGTACTTGATTCGATCCGCATTTGTGGTTTCACATTCAGACTTCCTGGCGTGTGCATATTGCATATGTGATGTACATGGTCACGTGTATCAGGATTACACGATTTAATTTCCCGAACTTGGGCAAAAAATATTGAAATTGGTTGAAGAGCTTAAAACAAAAAAAGCTTAAACACTTAAGCGACGGTAAGCATGGCAATAAGCCCCACTGCAAATGTCTCAACATTGGCCAACGCCGAATCTTTCTGTCACGCATATGGGACCCATATCATCGTAAGCTCTTCCTGACCCGGACATAAATCGACCTTCATTCCGGTGACCAATTTCCCATCGCTTTGCGTGCTGCCCGGATATTTCAGCTGCTTTGTTAAAAGGTTCTCCCGAAGAGAGTTGGGCCCATAAATAGCTGAGGTCGTTAGGAGTTAATTGGCCTTGAAGGCACGTTCCCTGGCATTATGAGTTACCAGATGCATAAAACTTAACTGCTGACATCGTCTTGGTCAGCGGCTACAAATATTTGCCTTCTTAATTGATTCAATTTACATGTTGAGTAGTTTTTGGGGCATGGCTTTTATAGAGCCAAAAACGCAAACAAGTAAACAAATTTTAATGAAATTTCGCAGAGAAGCGGCAAAAAAATTGCTTTCACTCTTGGAAAATCACATAAAAATGTTATAACACTCCGTTTCACAGCAGGTATTTTCATTTATTTTTGACCTTATAGATATATATTTTTTAGCTTTTTAGCAAACAAGGATATAGCATTTTACTTCCTTATAGTGATGGTTACGACCATCAGTGGAACTGCACAATTTGAGCTAACTGCAGTTGCAAATTGTAAATGCAATTCGCAGTTTTCCATTCTCGCGAAAATTGCTCTAACACTGCAGTTATGCAAATTCAACTCAAATGAGACTTTGTGTGCGACTCTGTGTGTGCAACTGCATGTGTGTGTGTAGTCTCACATGCGTGAAATTAATTTCTCCCACGAGAGAACCAGGTGCAAGCAAATTAAAGGTAGGCAACCTTTCAGATGGGCGTGTGTGTGGGTTTAGGGTCAGTGGGTGCCGTAAAGTATGCAACGCTTTGGAAATTTTGAACCGACATAATAGCTTCCATTTGGAGGCTTAAAAGTTTCGGAAAATTTAAAACCAGGTAGTGTTGTTTTTATTACTTTACTCTTATTCAGAGTTATGGATTTCTTTAATAAATATTTATCTACCATTGGCTTACTGCGCTTTCAATTACAGACCTTTTTAAAAAGATAAATATAAACATTTTTTGTTTTTATTTACATATGTACGTGTACATATTCTAAGTTTAGCATCCTTCAAAATGTATAAAATAGCCGCTGACAAAATTTAACAACAAAAGGGCCATGACTTCAATTTAAACCAATTGAATGACATGACATTATCTGTAGAATATTAAATCACTGAAAAGCAGCAAAATCTGCATAAAATCCGCACCCTCATCAGTTTCAGTGGGCGAAATGTGTTAGACCTCTACATCGATTGATTATGGCCCGATCGCAAATGGGAAACTCTTACTCAAAGGCGAAATCATAATAAATCACTTCGAGTTGAGACAAAAAATGGACCACACAAAATGGAGAGCCCCCCATAACTGGACGGTACTTTCTGCCCTTCCCAAAGTTCACCCCTAGGTGTTTGTCGCTCAATCAAAGCTGACCCAGAGCCTAATGAGGCGCACCCACTCCACTTTGCCCTGGGTTGCCATTTACAGGCAGATTATGAAATTAATGGCCTACAATTGAGCGGACTACTTTGTCAAGGGAGAAGATTCGGGGATAACTTTCACTTCATTTTTCATTTTTAATGTTCGCCACGGGCCAAGTTTGGTCCATGAATACGCGATTAGCTTGCACAAACTTTATTAAAAATTCCGACAATCCAAGTTGGGAAGCTTTCAATTTCGCAGGGCAGACTAATTTAATGTCGTGCCGAGGAGAATAGCTACGTTGAAGGCTTTTAATTGCCCGGGCATAGCTCTTCATTGGCTGCCTTTGGCAGTGTCATAAAAGTTTTGTGGCAGCAGCTGGCACCGGAAGTTGACGGGCTGTCCGCTTGGCTGCCTTCGTGGCTGATTCGATTGTGGCCCAGTCGAAGCGACAAAATTAAGTAAGTACGGCGAAGGAGCACAGGCCACAAAGGCTGCTCCTGCTCCCAACTACACCCACAATCCGATGGTCGTTAAACGGGCACAATGGCCACTTCGACTCCTGGCTGAAAATGCGAGGCAGTGCTATGTATGCACAGAGAACAACAAAATATGCACAAAGAACAACAAAAGAAGAGAAGACAATTGTCTCCTTGTAATTTGTTAAAATATACCGAAATAGGAAAATTATATTTTTTTTCTCAAAATAAAATAGATAAAATAGTTTTCATATTCTTAACATTTTCTCTCTGTGTAGTAGTATTTATGGGACACCGACCGGGAGGATAGTGATGCATATTGAAAGCTGGCAAGCACAATGAACAAAAGGTAAACTTCATTTGGCCAAGACAAGGAGCGGGGGAAAAAGCAGGAGAAGGTGGTTTGGGGGAGCAGCATCCGTTTCCGTCAACACTGGCACACAATGCCGTTTCCGGCCAACTTGGCTTCCAGCCAGAGGAAAATCGGTTGGTGGATGGGAAAATGTGTTTGGCAGCTCGTTCGACTGCTTAGTGGCTAATTTGCAAATAGATGAAAATGCGCCACACAATTATAGCTCTGGCAGCAGACTCGATGTCGATCGAAACTCTTCGGATTTAATTATAAATTTCTTCACCTCCACCTACGTTCAGGGAACTTTATTAGCGCTGTAACTTACCTTATTGTGCCCTCTTGCAATGTGCTTTTCTCTGGTAGGTAATTTCAGACGTTTTAATCAGGAAACTTAATTACATTAGCCGAGCACATCTGAGCGACAGGAGTTCGACAGGTTCGACTGCAAATCAAACACCCACAGACTCGCACACATCCAGAATCACTCAAAATCGCATAATTAATGCAAAGCACTTGTGGTTACCCAGAGTGTTGCACATACGCCCCGTGGGCCACACGGAAAGTGTGTGGTTGAGGCATAATTTGCAATAAATATTGATCCACAGATATGACCTCTGCACTTCAAAGCGTCAACTGATAGATGGCTATATCTGTTTGGTCTGACCATAGCCACGAGCCATGCCATGACAATATTTGTATGTCACGTTGACAGATTCGCTTGAATTGATGGCCAGCCTGTGGAAGAGAAAAATATACAAAATGATTGAAACCGTTTCTGTGATGGTTAAGGCTGTCAGAGATTTTCTCTTTTGACTTGCCCACTTTGTATACTTTAAAGCCCCAATAAGTCACGCCCAAAACCGCTTTAAGCCACACGCTTTTGGCCCCATAAATTGTGTTTCTCGAGCTTAGCTACAGTTTCAGCCCGTAAGTCAGAATCATTTGTCATAATTCGAGAGACCCGAAATAAAACAAAAACCAAAGAAAAACACTGCCCCAAAAGTTGACCCAACAACACCTTGGGCCATCGAAGTGGCCATTAAAAGTGCCAACAACAAGCAGACAACAAAAAGTGGGGGAGCAAAAAAACATTCGGGGACCACATGGCCAGCACTCGACACGAAAATCGACTGAAAAGCAATTATTTACACTTCGGCAATAAAAATATGGAACACGAAAAAAGAAGAACAGACAGGGGAGCAGTATTGTGTCAAAAATGCGTTGTGCAATTTATTACCTTTAATTTTTCTTGTCTGCTTCTCTTTTCCTTAAAAGAAATTGCATTTCTGCGGATTGTGGATAATCATTTTTATGACCATTGCCTTCGTTTATACTCTTCGTTTCATTTCAACTTTTTTATTAGCTCTCAAGGGCTGAGCGAGAGATTTCAGCGGAAAATCGAAAAAGTTTTTAAGAGCCTTCAATTCGCTTGTTAATTTTAATCCCTTTTGGTTGTTCCCGCCTTTTGCAGAAACCGAAGTGAAATGAATTCCGAGGAATGTCCGCAATTGGTCAACCTGTGAGTCCTGCGAATCCTGTGTGAGTGCCGTGAGCTCGAGAAATGGCGGTGTCCAGCTCAATTATGGAAACCGTCGCCCTTTTGACCCTGCTGCTTGGCCTTTTTATTCGAAGTGGTAAGTGATTTTGAAAGGAATTGAGTTAAATCATTAATAGGAAAATTAAGACTACTTAACTACTGTAATCATAATCAAAAGTTTTTAAATTCGTTTTGACGATAACATTATAAATAAAACATAATGTTGAAAAACTCTAAGGAGTTATTTGCATAAAAATCATAAATAAATCAAAATTTATTTTTGTTGTCAGGCTACTGCATAGACTGTTTTAAATGCGTATCTTACAATGGAGCCAACAAAGCCTGCGACGATCCGTTCCACAACAACTACTCCACGGCCATTTTGGAGTCACCCTGCATGGGCGGCCGGAAGGGGCGTGACGGCCTATTTCCGGCCACCGCTTGCATCAAGATCGCCGGCTACTACGGTAAGTGCTTTGACCTGATGAATGATCCCGGATTTGTTTTTTACTACCCTTTTCTTCTCCGAAGATGAGACCGGGAAAACGATAACGGTGAGGGGCTGTGCCCTGGACAGCGGAACCCTGACCACCGACACCGAGATTATAAGAATGTCGCACTGCGGAAAGTTCTACTACGATGGCGAGTAAGGAATACAGATTACATTATATAATTAATCATTGTTTAGTAGATCATACATCTATATTTAATTGGAACTTCAATTTTGTTAAATTAGTTTTTGTAATTTTATTTATTTTTGTTTTCTGGCTGTCAGCCATAGCTCGGCATAATCTAATATATTTTCTTGGCCCATCTCCCCAGTTACGTGCATGGTTGTCTGCAGAGCTGCAGCGACGCGGATGCCTGCAACTCAGCCAGGAGGCAGGGAGCGAATCCTGCCGACCTGGAGGCGCTGATGAGACACCTGCTTAGCCTGGTGGTTTTCCTAATGGCTGTCACGAGGTAGCAGCATCCTTACCTGTGACTGGAGTATCCGGAACGGGAGCATCAAGCGGAAATACCGAGGGATACAAAGTTAGGCAGCGGGGAAGACATTTAATCGACTTGGCTGCGCGTGGAAATCCTTTTTTTCCTCCGAATCTCTCTGTGTCTAGGATCGCACCCAAATGTAAAAGCACTTGAGCAGCTGCAGCAAGGACGCGCTCAAAAACACACTCTCTTACACCCAAAAACATTATGGAATTCATCAAGCAATTATGTGATTTATAAGCGAATACTTAACAACTATCAAACAATAATTGATGAACACGAACGGAAACTATTTAGATGCTAAGCATTCGAGAGTCGAAAATCAAAGGAAACAGTGCAACCTAAATTCAAATTCTAATTGCAATTATTTTTAGCTCCTAAGAAAGGAATCTAGACACTAAGTGCTGTCGCTGCTAAGTTTCATTAGAACAATATGATTAATGAAAGAAAGGAAATGTTTACGATTTATATACGATCTGTTTTACCATAGCATAATTAAGTATTTTTCACCTTTCTAGATTCATCTACTCATATTGTACATATACAACAAAAAAATTAACTATTAGTTAAAGAATGCTGAATTTTGGGCAAATTATAATAAATTATGTGTAAATGAATTAGTGGGCAAAATTATCAACGAAAACTGCGAATTGCAAAGTGGATTAAAAAGAATAACAAGCAAAGAAAATATTTAATTAAATTTTTTTTCCAAACACAACCGTTTTTTTCATCCAAATATTTATGGCCAGAAATAGGAATAAAAATCCTTTTAAATTAGTTTGCAACCGGCATAAAGCCATTTTTGATTAAGTGCATGTAATGTGGATTAACATCAGCTTTGCTTTTTTATTATCATCACTATCAAACTACTAATAGACTAATCGCATTACTCGGAAATGGGAGAACTACTTTCTGAAGTGTTTTCTATTTTTTTAAGGTAACTCTCCCTCTGAAAAAATGATTAATTTCAAACACTGAACTCATTCCGGACCTGCCTACGTCTTAAATTAAGCCATAAATATCGGTCATAAATGACACAATTTTATGCTATATAGACTTCTGAATGTAGACGCCCAACTACTAACACTTACCGCCAGTTTGGTCTTGTTGATTCACCAGAAGATTGGTTATCAGGCCCGGATACCCCGATAAGGTATCACTTTCATTCGTATCACCTAACAGCCGCCAAAAAATATCGTCTTCGATTAGAATTGTTTAGTACATTCTAGCAGCTCAATCGAAATGGACGGTAAGACTCAGGCGCACTCCTCTTTTCCGATTCGTTCATTAAGTGATGCCTTATAGGTAACACTTGGCTTCACTTCAGCCACGGCGCAATCCCTCAGGCAGCCGTAGTCGCTGGCCACGATGCCGATGGCGACACCATCTTCATCGGGCGGGCTTTCTACTGCAACGACATGCTGCCGGCCAAGATTATTCCCAACAAGGGAAAGGCCTATGTGGCCTATGCCAACCAGGAGGTGGAGCTGGAGAACTACGAGGTGCTCAGTGGATCCAACTACGAGTGGCTGCCAGCGGAAAACGGTGAGGTGCCGCACGGAGCCGTCAAAGTTGGCCAGAATGTCGACGGTGAGACTCTGTACGCCGGAAGGGGCTATCATGCCGGCAGTTTGACCGTGGGCAAGGTGCATCCGTCCCATGGCTGCCTGTACATTCCCTTCGATTCCGAGGAGGTGAAGATTTTCGCCTACGAAGTTCTGTCGCGTCGCATGGAGGCGAGATAGGTGCTCCAGTTCCACTTAATGCCTGTTAATCACAAATAAAATCAACCCTTTTTGTAAAAGCTCTTGGGATCTAATCTGTTACTAGCTGGTCATAAAACATCCTTATCTCAGTAGTTATTTTTAATGATTACCGAATTGTCGTTGAATTTGACAAAGTTGCTGGCTTGACAAATGAAGGGTTTTCAAATTGCAGACAGATTTAAATCGACTGCAGACACCTACATCATTTTGTTTTCGCAGTTTTTGTTAATCGCCCTTTTATGCAGGAAAAAGTTCTAAGTTAACAAAATCAAATAATATCGAATTAAAACCACTCATTAACTAAGTTAAAAACTTTTTAAATTACACATAGCTTAAATAATTAATTGTAAAGTCTAACTAAATTTTTATATGGATACGGAGAACCAATAGGACCAAACTAAATGAAACTATATGCATGGTAAGGATTCCATGGCAATAGAAATTGATAGGGGCAAAACGAACTACTCGATTTTTAGTTAGAATTGTTCGTATTTAGTATTTACTATTCATTTTTTCGGACTAAGCGAGCTTGCAATGGTTTCCGCAATGAAAAATCAACAACTATGTATAAACAAGTGGAGAAGTTTTGATAGAACTCAACGGTTTTCGATCGGGAGCAGACAGGCCAACACACCCAAATTCAGATAATTCGCATTTTTCTCTCTGCTGAAATCGCTTGCTTGCCACGCAACTAAACGCAAACTAATCAAAAGCAACCAACTTAAACGCAACACACAATACGCACCTTATTGGCTATTACGGCTCCAAGGGGGCCATCGAATTCTTCAACTCTCTCACACAATAAACGACCAATCAAAGTTTGTAAAAATAACACAAGAGTACATTAAACGTTTCATGGCAAGGCAATTGCCAAACATTTTTGAATGCAAATGTATCTAGCACTTAAGGAGAACTTTATACATATACAATTGAGGCAGCAGCGAGGTGGATTAACGATAATTAGATAAACTAGATAACGACGCTACTTGAACTAATCAAATTGAATTGAAAATTGAAATGTTTCTCTTGCATTTGAATGCGTGCATACAAATTTTTCTAGAGCAACATTTTTGGGCAACTGAGGCATTACCAACTAAACTATCAGCATTTCTGAATAAAAAAACTGCATACATATATTGAAAGTTCGATATCATCTATGAGTTTCACTAACACTACACATATTTACAAACAGACGGGTGGCTCGAATCAATCCAGCAATGTTTTCACGTAAGCGGCGTCTTCCTGGACGAATTTCTCAGCCTGCTCAGAGGGCACTTCGACTTCGGTCTTGTAGTTGTCCAGTCCAATCTCCTCCTCTTTTCTGAAATCATAAAGTGCACAGTGAGTAAATGTGTTTCTTAAGCATAGATCTTATCACAAACTTGATCAGGATGTCAACCACGTTCTCGCAGGCCAGCAGGCAGTCACTGTCCTTAGCCACCTTGGCCTCCCACTTGTGGTATTCCCGCAGGATTTCGTAAACACCCTTGGAACGCAGGATCTCCCGGCTGCGACGAGTGGAGCACAATTGCAGCAGGCACTCCAGCAGCATTTTCCGTAGATCCGGATCGTCCTCGCGCGTCTTACTCTCGGGGAGGTACTAGAAAGAAAAGCGATTTTAAGATATTCAAATATTTAGAAGGTGGCGAACTCACCTGCAGTTCGATTGGAAGCAAGTCGTTGTCCTCGTCGCTGAACTCTTCCGGGCCGCAAAGGGGCTGCATAATGGCCACCAGTATACTATCTTGGTTCTTGTCGAGAATCACGTCGTGGTAAACAACATCAAAGCAGACGTTCTTCAGGATGCCAATGGTTCCACCACGGCGCACCACACTACCCTCGAAGGAGGCGAAGGGCAGCAGCTTCTCCAGCAGCTGGTACTTCCTGTTGCAGCACAGCTCCCTGCCCCGTTGAACTTGTGTTAGATTACAGAAAATGGGAGCCAAATAATGCAGCTTTGCTTTCTTTTTGTTGTAGTCCAACTGCGCAAAGGCCTTGGCTAGACGAAGCAGAGTCTGGTCGTCTTTTTCCAGCGTGTCCAGGATCTCGTGCACTAGCGACTCCACGCGCGTTAGATTACTCAGCACCATGCTCCAGGGATCAGCCAAATCTGATTGCTCGTCGGTTATATGCTTGGCGGCCACTTCTACGATAGCAAAAGTCTGGACAAACATGAAATAAAAGACAAAATTTGCATTTAATTACATATTATTATCTTTTACTCTATTTGAAACTGAATAAGAACAAAATATGAAAAATTCTACATACAACCTTATGGATGACATTTTAATTAGTAATTTATTAATTGACTGACTTTTTATTTATTTTAAAAATACTCACGGGTTGCACTTGTTTTGCCAGTTGGAAAACTTTGATCGCTGCCTCCTCCTCCGCCGTTAAATTAATTAAACTTAAAACCGCATCCTTGGCAACTGTTTGATTTTCATCATATGTTAGTCCAAATATGGCCATTAGCATTTCGTCCAGTGAAAGTATGGCTGATTTTCCTTCTGAATTGCCAGTTAAACCTGAAAAATTAAAATCATTTAGTAAATAAATAAAATGTGCCACCCAGTGACGTCACAATTGCCCACAACAAACGCACGTGTAAGACAGTGAAAATAGTTGTTTCCTAAAACTCACCTAAAACATGGGTTAAAGCCACTGCCTTCAAGTCTAGTCGTTGATTGGGCTGCATAAATTGCACGAGTTCCCTCACAGTGTCCATTTTTATTGTTTTTAATAATAATTCCTCCTATTTTAGTGCAAATTTGTTTTATTTGCGCGGTTAGAGGTGGCGAAACATCGATGTTAGCATGAATGTTATCGATGCTTAAAAACATCGATAATAGGGGAGGATATTATCGATGTTTTCCCACCTCTAAGGACCAAGAAAATGGTTGTTGTACCCGCTCAACACGGAGCAAGTCCCCGCTAATTATTGAAAAGCTGCCTGCTATACATATCGGATATCTTTTGAAATTGAGCACTTATTCAACAGAACTTCTGTTAACAAAAGAAAAATGGCAGTGCTGGCATGCGGAGGTTGGCAACGCCGGGATGGTGAGGACCTTGACGGTGGCAACGCCGTGATGTTGGCCTTGCGTGCAACGTGGCAGTGATGGTGAGGACCTTGGCGGTGGCAACGCCGGGATGGTGAGGACCTTGACGGTGGCAATGCTGGCAGTCTTGTGGGTATGATTTTGGTCGTATGGCTTGGCAGCGTTTTGAGAAAACCCGGGAAAGATCAGTTTGACTTTCTGGCAACACTGTATTCGATCTTTTTCCCTTGAAAATGCGGCGAAACAGAGAATTTCGCGGCACACAGATTTCAGGTCCGCAGTGTGACCACCTTTAGGTTTATCGCAAATATAGGCGCTTTCTGGCCACTTTTGCAACGCGTTAAGGGACTTTCTGCCTTTTCTCCAAAGTGGCCATACAGTTTTGGCGCAGTTGTTCAAATTAGATTACATACTAGATGATCCTTAGATGATCCAAACGGGATCCTTAAACACCTGGACGGCCTAAAACAGTTAAGGTTTTTCTACTTGATGCTCGACTATTTGATTAAGATAGGTCTTTTCTTTTCTTTGGATAAACATGTTTTGATTAAATATATGTGTGTCTAGTGTACGAGAAATTCGATACAGTATATTTTCAAATCCCAGCAAATGGATTATATTTTATTATTAAATAAACGTTTAACGACTCAACAAGAATCCCGCGTGCCATTCGGGAACGATGTCTGAGTCCAGCTTGGATTTTCGGTGAGCAGTGCTCCTGCCTTTTCCGCTGATTGCCCTATGAATAAACCGACTGACCTGATGAATGTCCGTGAAGATACCTGGCATTCCGGGTTTCTTGCAGGCAGGACCCCAAGCCACGATTCCACAGAGCTGATCGCCAGAAGTCACCGGACATCCGGGACTGAACATGCAGGCCGATGTCCTTTTGAATTGTTTGGCACAGACGAGGGTTTGGTCCAGGATAAGACTGCCGTACTGCGATTCGCAGTCCATTCGGTTTAGCATGGTGAGTCCTTCTATGCGAACATTTTCAGCTGATTCACAGGCCACAACGGAAATGGAATTATTCGTACTCAGAGGCTTGCTCCAGAGTTTTACGAACTTGTGAAAATTGCCACGCAGACGGTTGCTCAATTTAACCACAGCCACATCCATTAATGTTTCGGGAAAGCGCCACTCCTTCGGAACGAAAACGGTGTGGATGAGGGCGAAGGAATCCTCCCTATAATTCTGCTTGCTGTCTAGGAACTCCACACTAAGGGCCTTTAACTTTGACCTGTGGCTGTGCATGCAGTTCGCCGAGGTCAACGCGTAAAGAGCACTGAAGTAGGCAGCTCCGCAGGCGAACTCATTTCCATCCATGATCCTCAGCACCCAGGGGCCCACTTGTCCTCCCTCGGTCAGCCGCATCCCATTATTGTTTTCCGTCGTCACCGGCGGCTTGGCATGCAGGTAAAATCCTGAATCCAACTGGTTTGTTACTCCAATCCCGACATTTACAAGGATCAGCGGTATCAAAAGTATTCCCCTTAAAAAATCCATCACTGCAAGAGGCTTTGCCCGGTGTTACTGGCCGACTGACTAAATAAAAGACCAAGAAACAGCATTGCAAAATTAATTTCACACTCATTTAGGAAAGTAATTGCAATTACAGGGAGTTTTCGAATTTCTTACTCGAATCAATTCAATCCCTTTTATTTCAAAGATAATTCCGTTTTCGTATATTAAAAACTAACAGTCTATTTACTATTTGATTAACTCGGTCTTAAAATACTTTTATCAGAAACAAAATAATGAGCCACCAAAAATAATGCAATGATATAACAATCCTTATTATTATTCCAATTTATTAAGCCATTTTAAAGAAAATCATTAATAATATTCTTTATGTAATAAGCATTTAATTGCACACCATCGCTTCCAGTGGATCTATTGTGGTTGTCTTAGCCTCATATTTCAGTTCGGTTGTGTTTATTTCTGATGTGGCGGGACTTCTTATCACCTTTGCAGGTGTTTTTTGCCGGACCTTGGGGGCTCTGAAGATATAGCCGGCTTTAATGCCTTCCTCCGTTTCCCTAATGAAACGTGCCACCCTTTTGATGTTGGTGAACATGCCAGGATATGAGGTGTTCTGGCACTGCGATCCGATGGATACGACGCCGCAGAGTTCCCTTTTGTAAATCATGGGACCGCCACCGTCGTAGAGACATTGCCTTGGATTCTTGGGCTGTCTAACACACACCGAAGTGCTCGATAGCCTCAAGCTCTTTCCGAAGCTCTTTCGGCACTCTTTCAACGATATGACGGAGACTGAGGAGTTCCTTGGATCCGAAGAGGGTTTCTGCACCTCCAGACTGTCGTAGCCCCAGCCAAAGACCACCATTCGCATTCTGGGCTGCACTTTGACAGTGCACAGCCTGATGAACTCGGTGAGTCGCCCCTTAATGGGCTCCTTCAGCCGCACAACGGCCACGTCCATGTAGAGTTTACGGTATATGAATCTCTCGGGAAACTGGATGGTATCGATTTCAGCGACATTCTCGTCATCGCACTTCGAGAACGCAGTGCCCTCCACCGTGGCCCCTTCGAGGCTGTTCCGATAGGGATATATGCAATTGGCCGAGGTGATCACGAGCAAAGGAGCATAATAGGCTCCCCCGCAGGCGAAGTTCCCGTCGCTGTTCAGGATCCTCAGCAGCCAGCCCCCGAAATTCGGGCCCGTGTTCGATTCCACCCCCATCCAGGCTCTTCGAAATTTCGGGGTCCTTCGGTAAATGTCCCTCGGGTAGACCTTACCCCTCCCCAGGGGCATCCAGATCACCAGCAGAAGGCTCAGCAAAAGCCAGTTCTTCGCTAGTCCCATATTGAAGTGAACGGCTGGACGCAATTGAAATTTTGTTAGCTTTGTAAGTTAGCGTGGACAATTTGTGATCACATCAGGGTGGAAAATTGCCCACCTTATGCAGAGTTCAAAGTTGGCGTGTATATACACTTCTTAAACACAAATATCTTTCATAAAAGATGGCAAACCGCGAAAATGACCTAAAAACCTGAACGGCTAAGTGACTGCAATTAAACATACATTTTATTTTTATGTTAATTATAAACAAGCAAACCGGTATACTTTGAATAAATGAGCTATTGTCTACTAGTAAAAAACGTGTTTTAAACTGCGCCAATTGGAAAGAGAACCATTCCTGAAGAGTATTCTAGACAGATAGGCTATTGAAGCGTGTATAAAATTGTAGGTAACGGCAGTTCTCTTTGCTTATCCAGATGAAATCGCCTGCAATCTTTAAAATGTTGCAAATAAGATCATAGTATAACTAAAGTATACGGTCATGCGAATTCTTCTCGCTTTGGCTGGCAGACCTGGCACATTATTAAGCCCTTAGTACGAAATGAAATACCGATGTCGCACATTATTCTTTGGGTGCTGTTAGCTTCCGAGTTGTGGCACCACCCGTCGTGGGGCAATGTGTACCCGTACCACATCACACGGAAGACGCCGAAGAGCAAGCGTTGGTGGAAGGGTCCACAGTATAACACGGGTCGAAACTTTGGCGGTTGGCTGTTCCAGGTCCAGCATACGAGTGCCTCGGTAATCTGCGGAGCGTCCTACTACTCCCCGCTTTTGATGATTGCGTCGGCGAACTGCATCCACCCGCATCGCTACGATCTGGAGGGAACGAGTGTCGAGCCCACGTTCACCGAAGAAGACATCTATGGACTTATCGACACCGTGTACACGCCCAACGAGTTCCAGCAATTCCATCTCTATATGGACATAGCCGTAATCCTATTGCAAAGCCCCATCAAGGGCAAGACTACCGAGTTCATAAAGCTCTGCAGCAAGCCCATCAAACCGGGAATGTGGACGACGGTGTATGCCTGGGGCTTCGACTCCATGCACATGGGGGCGCAGACCACGAACACCAAGAGTGGCATAGTGCCCGTCGAGGATGTCGAAACGTGCCGCAAGAAGTTGAGGACCACCGACACCAGGCTCTCGAGCACATCCTTCTGTGTGACCCATCCAAAGAACGCGAGGAAGTGCCTCTACGACGGAGGAGCCCCCCTGACCTACGGCACCGAACTCTGCGGCGTGGTATCCTATGGACCTGTTTGCACCAACGCCGGACATCCGGGCGTCTACACGGACATCAACAAGGTGGCAGACTTCATCGAGGATATCGAATATGCCATTAAAATAGGTCTACTGAAACGCAGGATTCCATTAAAGAAGTATATGGAAAAACGTTCGGGCAAAAAAAAAGAAAAAATTCTAAAGCACAAACATCGCTAAAAATGTTTTCAGGAGTAATAAAATTGTAGATTTCAATATACGATGCTTGCAATTACTTCTCCTTCAAAGCCCTAGGAATATATATTTATATATAAAGTTCATTCTTGTCTTGTTATGATGTCTTATTATGTCTGTATGTAGACAATACATTTCATAATACTGCATTGAGTAGGGGATATCAACAAATAATCCCTGTTAAATCTTATACAAAATTTAGGAAACTTTGATTAACACTTACCGGCTTCAGGTCGATTAAAGTCGTACATCTGCACTAGTCTACTGTGTCTCTTAAATACTGGGAATATATCAAAAATATGGGTTAAGGCATAACTAAACCAAACGGTCATGCTTATTCTCCTCGCCTTCCAAGGCGGACTTGAAGTCAATCAAGCTCTTAGTTCAAAATGAAAGAGCGATGGCGAAGATCTTGCTTTGGGCCCTGTTAGTTTTAGAATTGTGGCCCCTTCGATCGTGGAGCAAGTTGTACAAGTACAACATCAACGGAAAGACCCCAAAGTCGCGGCGTTGGTGGGAAGGTCCGGAGTCGAATACGGGCTCTAATTACGGGGGCTGGCTGTTCCGGGTGTCCCACCACCGAGACGCAACCATCTGTGGAGCCTCCTACTACTCTGCCTACTTGATGATTGTCTCGGCGAACTGCATCCACCCGTATCGCTACGATCTGGAGGGGGCGAGTGTCGAGCCCACCTTTACCGACGACAATGTCTTCGGACTCATCGACACCGTGTACACGCCCAGCCAGTTCCAGCAGCACAAGTTGTATATGGACATTGCCCTGATCCGACTGCAAAGTCCCATCAAGGGTAAGACGACTGAGTTCATAAAGCTCTGCAGCACGACCATAACGACCGGAATGCGGATGACGGCGTACGCCTGGGGCTTCGATTCGATGTCGCTGGGACCGCAGTCCTCGAAGGCAAAGAATGGTTCCGTGCCCGTGGAGGACATCGCTTCGTGCCGCAGGAAGTACGCCAAAACCGACATCAGGCTCTCCAGCACCTCCTTTTGTGTGACCCACCCAAAGGATCGCATGAAGTGTCGCTACGACGGAGGTGCTCCTCTGACCTACGGAACCGAACTCTGTGGCGTGGTATCCCACGGTCCACTTTGCACCGACACCAGACAGCCGGGGATCTACACGAACATCAATAAGATGGTCGATTTCATCGAGGACACGGAAAAACGCATTGCATTGGGTTGGCTGAGGATACCCAAAAAACCCAGGAAGCCCGTTAGACATAAAAAAAAAAAACGATTGTCCCAGAAAAATTAGGCGAGCAGGAATAAATCAATTTTAAATTAAAAATTCAACTAAATTCATAGAATATTTTACGTAGTGGTTACTTGCTGTCATTTAAATTTATTGTAGCCCCAATCAACAATCTTTGATATCTTTTTTTGTATTATAAAACAACATTTTTGAGTAATATTTTAATTATATTGAAAAACATTTTCAATTTTCAAATTTTACGAAAAATGATTCTTCTAAAAATTTAGAAAAGGCTGATGTTTTCAGCTTATTAATAGCCCAACACTTATTAAGGTTCATACCAATTATAATTGACACTCATCAAGTCCCGATTGATCGATTTGATATTTTAAGAATTCGAAGGGGTAAACCGGATTATCCCAAAACTGTATTACTCGTATTATTTTTAGGTTCAAGCCCCTCAGTCGAACGAATGCGTAAGTGCTTGAAGTAAGTCAGAAATTCGTTGTGATGTCATTTGAAGGGGCAGTCATTGTCTCCACCTGAATCGAGTTTTCGCACAATAAATTGCAGGCCTTATCGATTTTTAAATGCCGATCAAAGATGATTAATGAGCATAATTTAAACGAAACTTGTTTGTATAAAATCAGTTTAGTACCACTTTCTTTCTTGTGGGAACTTTCCGCCAGATGGGATCATTTTGATAATATGTATATTTGAATTGCTCATTTTTGTTATAAGGACATTGTGACTTGACATATTAATACAAATTTTTAATAAATACAAATTTTAAATGTTATTTTAGGTTCGTTTATAAGTTATTTACTTAATTTATTAATTTTACTAAAAAGTTAATGAAATATTTGTTATTTCTTATTTAGGTATATTCTCTGGTATATTTTTATAAGTTGGATGGGAATGCTGTTAGTTTATCACAAAAAATATATTTAGCTAAATTTAGACGGTGATGCATAAACAGGTCTATATTTAACAGAAATCTAAAGCGATAATATAGCACCTTAAAACTGAGTAAAAACGGAGTCTGCGGCTAATAATTACTTTATGAGCCTATCGGCACATGTCCAGAATTATGACATTATTTATCCCAAGTCAAATAAAAACTGAGACTAATCGGTCAGAGGCGGGTCACTCAACGCCGTCGTGGTCTTATGTAACACCTCCTGACGTGAGCACTTCAAACTTTCGGTGTTAATCATCAGATTGTACCCGAAAATTAACTGGACTACACTGCGAGAATTCAGTGGTGGACTTATTACTTAATGATTTGGGTAATCAGGATACCTTTAATAATGTTTTAAGTTCTTGTAGTTTAAGTTAAAATCAGCAAAGCTAATAAAAATAAGGAAATAATGTGTTGTTTATTCCAGGTGGAATGACATATCATTCTATACATTTTGAAAATGTTGTTTCGAAAAGTGATCTGAATTGGGTCGTCAAAATCTTAGTATGACACATTATTTTTCCATGTGCAAGCGAAAACCCGATAAACAGGCAGTGACATCACTGGCGTGTTTTCGGGATTTTCGGCCCACTTGCGCACTTGCCGTAAGACCGCCTAGCGGTACTTTCGATCGGGGCTAAAAATAACAACCCACTGGGGAGGTTGGGCGGTATTATTCCGGGAACTACGTAATTTGGGTTTCAAGTACAAAAACTGGACACTGAACCCGGTCGACGACGTCGATCGGCGGACTTCCTGATCGTAGGGCTTGCTGGTAGGGTTCTTCCTCTTCCGGCCGATGGTGAATGTGAATGCCCGGCGGATCACGTAGGCCCTGGATGGTGGTCTCCCCCGGGATCCAACCAGACTCTACAGAATTGGCAATCTGGCCACGAAGTTTCCACGGAAAGTGCGCACCCACCGGCTGGATCGTAATGCCCATCATAAGGTGGAGCGATAAGCACGCCCAGATCCAGCGACTTAGTCACATACTCGCCTGGTACCCTCATAAACATAATGTGTTGCCGCGGATCTGGTTCGCATGCCAAATGAGTCCAAAGCGCGTGCGCGGCCCGCTTCTGACGTTACCCATTTGCCTATTTAGCCAAGTCAAAACATATAACCCTCGAGAGACCCAGGGGTTGTCAGATAGTTATTTCAATATGGGCATTTTCAAACAATCAAAATTACGATTAAATATTAGGCTTTTATATAACTTTTTTTTAAAATTTATTTTTGTGATTTGTAGCTGAAAAACGTTTTCTTGCTGTAATAAACATTTTAAGAAATAAATAAAAATTCATAAAAACTAGCTAATAAGTTGTTCAGTGAGTAGGTTTTCCCTCTGCTCGCTATTTTTTGTGTAATTATTTATTCCAAGGGAGGTGAGCTTTATAAACGGAACGAATTTTTGAATTATTACGCAATTATAAAAGTGAAGATATCGAAATTCAATAAATAAATGGTTTTAATGCAATGTTTTAATGTTCAAGCTGCTTTCGAGGAAAGCATTTTAATTACTCGGTAATGGAACATTGACTGGCTATTAATTAGCTCTTATGGGCTATACCAAAATTAATAAGCTCTTTACTCAATAAATGTACTTATAACAAATATTTGTTACTCAGCTTTTATAGTGTTAAAATCTCTGCCAAAAATAGCTTTGCAGTGTGCATACAAATCACCGATGATTTTATTCAAATCATAAGCTCTTACAGTTTGATTTGATTCCAATTGGCAACAACTTCCTTCTTTAAGCGGGATTTTTTCTTGTTCTGTGACAGTAAACTGCTATAGTGTCTTATTGAAACCGAAAATTCCCTCATTTTAAATGGTTTCCATAGAAATAGAAGTTTACATTTTGCCTGTGGCATCAACAACAATAAGAGGGACTTTTGTTCCAAGCAAAGTAAGCAATAATTCTTGCTTATCTGAGGGGGAGTTGGGTGGCCAAGATATCCATGTTCCAACTGATATCCTTGTTGATGGCATTACCATTGCTCTGCAATTTTATTTCACAGAATGCTGCACGCACAAGGAAGAGAAAAAAGTAAAAAAAAAAGGGAGAACTCTGTCTGGGGTAACCTGAGATGGTTAGTGATCTTTCAAAGGGACATCTGTTGCTCTCAGGAGATACAACAGATACAATGTGTAATTGACGCCTCAGGAAGACAAAAAAACGACCATCCAGGGATCCCAGGGCAGACAGATCGGAAGCAGAGATGACGTTGATGTCTGGATCCGGAACTTTGTGACGGGACTCTGGGTTCATTGATCAGTGTAATGATCTTCCTTTGATCTTGAGTTACAGTGTAGGGTTTTTGGAGTGCCCCTCTGTGATGTTTTCTTCCGTTCTCGTTTGGTTCCTCTTTCGGTTTTCTATCTGGGAGGTTTTCCTTTTACCCCCGAATAATTTAATTTTCTACTTTAAAGCTGCCCTATTAAAACTAATCAGTTTCCTGTTGCTGCTGTTGGAATTTTTTTGCCAGAAACGCAGGTTAATAACTGCTGGGTAATTCGACACCTTCATCTCTTAAAAAGAGGTGCTTGACCCAGCTTCGTTAAGATAAAAAGTACTTTTATGCGGGGAAGCACAGGCTGAAATCGAGACTTTTATGAGATCCCGATGCTGTTGGCAATGTGGCCAACTAACCTTTGCAACGCGCCCTCTTTTTAGGGTCTCTAAAACCCCGATGCTAATGACCGCCGTGAACTCTGACATGCGATAGCCGGTTGCGCCACAAACCGAGTTGCACTTCCAGGGCCCCGCAAACCCAATTAAGCCCTGCGTTACCTAACCCACAAGCCCCTGGGTCCCACTTTTCTACCCAAATACTCCCAACTGGCGGAAGTTTCCATTGCGGCCCCACAGAATGTATAGTTGCAACATCGACCCGTGTTGCAAGTCAACTCGAACGTGTTGTGAAGGGATGCTTGGGGGTTGGGTCATGGTTCTAGGGGTTGTGTTTTGTTTTATTGTTGCGGTAGTCTTTCCCATTTTGGGGAGCGCCACGTGTAAATGGAATATGCGAGGGGGCAATGTCAAACGGCATCGGATGACACCGAAAGTCCTGGAACTCTTCGTCTTTGCCTCGAACTTGGTTATATCAACAGTCAAGAAATCAATGTGCCATCAATGGTTTTTAGCCCAAGTTTAAAAGTTCTCTCCACGAAAAGTCCTTGAATCTGGCGCAAGTTTCCACTTTCATTAGCATGTCCCGGCCGGGAAAAGTTTTTGCGAGAGATACGAACAACAAGTGTCGAAAACTTACATCACATCGACAGGAAAAGGCCAAAAAGAAAGACATTTATGTTGTGTTTACCACCCAAGTTTTAGGCCAGCGGAAGGAGCTTGCAACTCGAACGTGTTTGCAGGAAGTTGGCCAGGCTAAGAGGCGAAAAAAGTGGCCAAAACGAGACAGTTTCGCAACGAACTCTGAACGCAGCGGACGAGTCGGAATAATCGAGTCCGAGTAACCCAAGGGGACCCGAGTCCCGATTCTCGATTCTCGAGTCCCGAGGCGTCTACATGGCAACCAGGCCACCAGAACAGGAGGGGCTGGCCAAAAGGCTAACCAGACATGTCCTCGTTCCAGGACTTCGGGTCGATCCGATGCGATTCGGCTGCGCTTTCGGTTCGGTTTCGGCTTTCGACGTCCTGCACTCGCTGCGACCAGAGTTTTGAAGTTTCCGCTGGCCAAGTTTCGAATCAGTTGCCGCCGACTTGTTGGGTCATTTGCATATAAATCGATCGGTGCACCAGTTATTGGTTCATTGCAAAACCTCTCAATTAACTAACGATCAATTAGTAAAGTTTGATAAGAAAGTGTCGCGTTATTGCCAATTGATTTCACAAAATAAAACTCTTTAATACCTGAGTGAGTAAATTTCGTTTTCTACTACTAATTCCATTTGGCGACTGCAACTATTTTGCATTTTACCTGTTAGCTCTAAAACTTTTGCGGAATAATTTATGGCGGCTGTCAAAGTTTTGTGCCGCAGGAAATTTTAAATTAGTCTAAAAAACTATGCCACCAAGTCCACCGTGGAATTCTCTGAACATTTTTTTGTGTCAATTTTAATTTGTTAAGAGCTAACCATG